AGTTTATAAAATATATAATTATATAATACACAATAAAATATATTAATGAATGTAGTTTTATAAAATATACAACAATATATAACATTATATAATAATATAATATACAATAAAATATATTAATGTGTGTAGTCTACAAAATATACAATATTAGGAAAATCTCTAACAAAATGGAAATATCTTTTCATTTATACAGTTTGTCCTTCATGGTTTCATTGGGCTAAAGTGACATTTATGTTGATTTGACTACACACGAAGGAGAGAGGGTGATGAAATTTAAAATTAATTTTTATTTTTTAAATATGTGTTTTGGGTATGTATTCTAGCTAATTTCATTTACTTTCTTTTTCAATTTGTTCATGTTTTTATCACTTTTGTTATTAAATATCCCGCATTGTGATAGATCTGTCAAAGAAGGTGAAATGTTGTACAAATCTAGACATAAATTTACAGTTGATGATCTACACGTTTTTGTCTTAGTGAATTGCTTTCTCTTAATTAAAATAGTATTTTTTTTTTTAATCAAAATTATGGTCAGATTCATTACTAATGCATTGAGTGTGTTGTTTTTGTAAAAGATCCCTTTTGTGTTTATATAATTGTAGCTGTGACAGAATTGGTGAGTAGAAAAATATCTTTTCATTCATTGGGTTTATCAGAATAGTTCACACTTTTACATTTTGAAATATTTTACAGGCTTTTTGGCTCACATATCATATAATTAGGGTTAGCTTAAAAGTATTTTCAACGTATTTCTCTTCTTCATGTAAATATTGAGGGGTACAAATTTTGAGTGCTCTTAAATAGAATCTAATGATTATTTTAGATTTTTTGTTATTATGGTGCAAATAGAAACTTATGAGATGATTTTTATTACTTTATTTGCAATGGACACTTAGTTTTAAACTATTGTCATTATGGTGTAACATGATATATAGGAAAGGTAAAGTATTGTTTGTTTCTGTTTTGTAAGTGAATTCTATCATATGCTTGACTTTGCTTACTTTATATAAAAGGAGTTTTGTTGGGATATATTGATAGAGCTTCATCAGTATGTTGGAAATATGTTGATTATTTAAGTAAAATATTTGGAAAGGACCACATTCAAGTAGTTGTAAAATGCATGCCAAAAAATTGGTGTAAATGGATTTAACATCTAACCTAGCTATGAGTTCGTCAGTCCTATTTATTTCCCTTAGATTTTCAACTAGGTTGTCTTAATTTTTAATATGTGATGGGCTTTGCTTTTGCCAGTTTCTGGGGAGCATTACCAATACTTGATAGAATAAGGTGAATCAGAAAGCCAGCTCTGTGAGTTTTTGAAAGACCACAATGTTTGGGTATTCTAGGGTGATATTCTATTAGTTTATACCATGATTTTTTTTCATTATTAATTAAGAAAAATTAACTTAATAAAAAGAATCTAAATGATATCTGCTAAGCTATATACCCAAAACACATTAAAAAAATTAAATTTAAAATTTCAGCATCCCTTCTCTTTCATGCACATCTATAGTGACATCAATGTAAACCTCACTTTAGTCTGATTAAGTCCTAAAGGACGAAACAAATCACATGAAAAAATTTTCTGGTTTGTTATAGATTTTCCTAAAATTGTTCTTGATATATAAAAATTATTTATAGTTTTGTCATATTATTAAAATAATATCTAATATACTGGGTGATTGAAAAGCAACTTCCCATTTTAAAATACTTGCAGTTTATTTATTAACTATAATTTTTACAAGAAATGAATATGAAAGGAATGCGTTTAGTATGCTGTTTATTTAAAATTCGATATGGGCCATAGATTTCACTACCAGCTTCTTGAGCCACCCAGAAATCATGTCAGTTGATTTCATTAGGAATTCTTGTGGTATTGAAGGCATAACTTCTTGTATTTGCCCTTCAAGTTTTTCCAAAGTCTTGGTTTGCTATAGCAGACTTGCTCCTTTAACCAACCCCAAAGACAAAAGTCACAGGATGTTAAGTCAAGATTCCTGTCTGGCCACTCGGACATAAAACATGGAGTTACTTTTCAATCACCCTGTATGTAATATAAAATATAATATATAAAATAATATATAATTAATATAATGCAATATAATATTAATGCATGTAGTTTATATTTTAGTGAGCTAATTAGATATTTCTGATGCCAGGTCAAATAATGATTATATTGAGAAAAATCATGAGCCCTTCTAAAACCCTGCACCATCTATGCTGATTAACCTTGGATTTTTCATATAATCTCTTAAATAAAAAGAATACATTGATCAAAATAAATCAATCACTTAATCCATATTTCTATTTTATTTAATCCTAATCTTAATCCTTCTATATTCTTCATGCAGATCTACCCTAGCCAGCAAGGTAGCAATACTAGCAGGTTAATTTAGAATCTATTTATTAAAAGAAATGGATAGATTTGGATATTATTTCAAACTCATTTCTTCAGGTACACACTGCAAAAGGTGGGACTTAGCACTGCATCTAATGATAGTGGGTTGGATCCAAGTAAAATTAGGTTTAAAATACTGAATCCACATGAAGAGATTGTATAGAATCATTTTTATAAGCTTGTAAAATATTGAACTTCCCAAATTATAGATGTTTGTGTCTGTTTATTGATTATATAATTCTTATTCGATTAATATGAGTATATATATATATTCACATTAATTGAATATTACATGGTGGATTCTCTTATCGTGAATGATAAATGAGGGTTGGCAGTGGATGGTGGCTTTTGTTTTACACTTACACACACTAGCAGGGGCTATTGTGTGAAAATCAGGTAAGGGAAAGATATATTTCATTTGTGCTTTCTTAAGAGTGATACTAGCCCAGTCTTGCTGCAGGCAACAAAGCCACACTGACAGATGAAATTTGTTAAAGCAGGATTTTTGTGGCATCTCTGCTTCAGAGTTTGGTGAAGCTGATCACAGTGCTTCAGTCTACTGTCTTCAAAACCCTTTAACTTTATGAAACATCTTATGCCATTCCTTTCAGTTCAATGCTTGGGTTTCCCAGGTTTTCAAATCAAAGTTGAGACATTTCAAGTTGTCTTTGTAGCCTAAGAGTGGTCATCCAATTGAACGCTTGGAGTCTGGCAGTTGTCCATACAGCACCTTTTTTGGAAGCCTATTCTCATCCATTCTCACAATATGACTAGCCCACCTAAGTTGTATCTTTGCTAAAATGGTTTCAATGCCTGTGATGTTGTTACATTTCTTCAGTATCGCACTATTCTTGACCCTGTCATCCCATCAAGTTGATTTATGTGTTTGCGATACAGGGTCCAAGTTTCAGCATCATAGAGAAGGGTTGAGAGAATGACTGATCTGTATATGTTGATCTTTACTCTGAGTCTTTGGTGTTTCATAACCTATGTTTAAGATGACGGAATGGTACATTGGCTGTTCTGGATTGGATTTCTCTGTCCATTTTTCCATCAGAAGAGTCTGATGATCCAAGGTATGTGAATGCCTCAACAGTTTTTAATGCCGTACCATCAATGAATATGGAAGGATTTATGAGAGATGTACTGGATGGTACACACACACACACACACATATATATATATATTAATACAAATATAAAATTTGTCACTATGCTGACTGATGTTATATTCAGCACCCTGACTCCAGAGTTTTATAGACAATGTTTTTTTTATAATCTTTTGGTCTACTCATCAGGCGGTATCAGTGTGTGTGTGTGTGTGTGTGTGTGTGTGTATATATATATATATATATATATATATATATATATATAGTTTAAAAATCAGGAGGTTAATTAAAATATGTGACCACGGTTTCGACTTAAAAGCTCTACATGCTATTTTCATTTCTATTTATTTTTTCTCATTTGTATTGAGCACTTTTTAATACTACCGTTCCCTGCTCTGATTCAACTTTGACCATTAACATATATATATATATATATATATATATATAGGTTTATTAAAGATCAATGAAAACTCAAGATTTTTTTTAAATTTACTTTTTCTATAATTCAGTTCATTTCCTTGGTTTCTGTTCCACATTTGATATAAATTTACTAATGTCCGAGTACACTTGCCCTCATTAGCCATAATCAAAAACTTGACTAATTTTTGTGCCATGTTAGTTTTCTTTATTTGCAGATACCATATTTCTGCATGACCACATGACTGCTCATGTCATTGTGTTTTTTTTTCAATAATAGCTATTGAGAACTGAAAATACCCAGACATTGGACAATAATCATGATAATGAAATAAAGAAAATTAAATAAAGAATTCCTTAACAGTCATTGTTTTTGGTCCAAACTTATATATATATATATATATATATATATACACACACATAAATTATTAATTGTTCCATTAATTCACCAAGTTGGTTTAAAATACTGAATGCACTACAAGAGATGAATTATACAAAATCTTATAACCTTGTAAAATATTTTACTTCCCATATTGTATATGTCTGCTGATTATCTACTTTTAATCCAATTCTCTCTCTCTTTCTCTCTCTCTCTCTCTCTCTCTCTCTATATATATATATATATATATATAAAGGTTGAGGGTCAGGGTTGAATCAGATCAAGGAACAGTAGTTTTAAAAAGTGCTCAATACATGTGAGAAAAAAATAAATAAAATAACATGTAGAGCTTATATATATATATATATATATATATATATATATACAAATTATTCATTGTTCTATCAATTCAAATCCTAGTAAAGAGTAAGTTTAAAATATTGAATGCACTTCAAGAGATTGATTCTACACAACCTTCATATAAACTTGTAAAATATTCCACCATTTCCACCTGTCTGCCTGTCTATCTCAATATGTCTACATATTTACATACAAAGGATTGGCAGCAGGTGGTTGGATGAGATTGATAGAAAATGTACCTATAAAAATAAAATGACTCATTAAAAAAAGAGAGAGAGATTTTAAAATCTGAGCCAACAATTTAGTTTAATCAATAAAATTCCTGAGTGATTGATAACAAGCTATTTGAGAAAGAAGAAAATGGTGAGTGGGGAAGGAGTGAATAAATGCCAAATAAAAGATGAAAGAAAAAAAATAGAGAAGAAAAAAAACCACCATGAAAGTGGAAGCGATGAAAGCTGAATAGAAGAAAATGATTACGAAAATGCATTGTGTTTGGAAGAGAAAGTGAATGCAACTGTTAAAGCAATAAATTGCAGTTGCACAAGTGCAGATATTAGAAGAGTGATTGCATATAAGAAATAATGGCATCATTATGTAAGACAGACAGACATGGAAGTTGACATTCTTACAGAAAGATAGGTTAGGAGTGGGGAAAAAAAGACAATGTGAAGAGAGAGAGAGAGAGAGACATATGGCAATTAAAAGGGGGACAAAACTGTACATATGTGTGTGTATGCATAACTTGAAAGAGAAAAAGAAATAAAAAAGGTATGAGTAAAAAGAAACATAGATAACTATATATATCCAATGTGATGAGAATGAAAGTAATATATAAATTCCAACGTTCACAGCATTAATCCAAAAGAGGGCATCATATTGTATAGTAGATATAATATTATTTATTTATTATAAATTTATCATATAGACAAACCATTTTACTCTCACTACAAAGATGCAACAGGTTTCATTTTTTTTTTATTTCAACTGCACTTCGACAGGTGAGAATCAAAAATCTATATGATAAAATTATAATAAGTAAATAAATGATAACTGTGTTTATATATATATATATATATATATATATATATATATATATATATTTATTTAGAGAGAGAGAGAAGAGAGAAGGGTAGGGCAGAGAGTAAATATATAGAGGGATCAATGCACTCATTCTTATCAAGATTCCTGATGAGTCATTAAAAATTATGAAACTGTGTTCATTTTAATAATAAATATATATATATATATATGTAACTGTTATAGAGTAGTTTCACAGTGGAGGCTTGTATTTCACTAAGTCAGTCCTAAAAAGGTTCGACGCACAAAACGTTAGGAACTTGATATAATAGTTAATGACGCAGCAATCTAGTTGTGGTGGCTGATACTTTAATATCTGACTAACGGTCGTCTGACATTGACTGACTGACCAAATTACTGAGCGACTCAGCGACTGCTACTACTCCTACTTATTATAGAATAGGTGTGTTCCAGTATAACAGTAACTCTAATTAAAAAAGAAAGCAATTTACTAAGATGAAAATGTATAGGAAGTGTTTTAATCACAAGATCATCCATAGTAAATTTATATCCAGGTTTTTTTCATCTCTTTGCAGATCTTCTATTATCACAATGTGAGACATTTAATAATAAAATAGATAAAAACATAAATGAGAAGAAAAAGAAACTAAATTAAATCAACTAGACTATATACCAAAGATTTATAGAAAAAAAATTGAATTTAAATTTTAAATTCCCATCTTCCCTTCACCTTTTAAAACATGTTGTGACATCGATGTAAACAACTCTTTAGTCTGAGGAAGTCCTAAAGGATGAAAAACATTGTACAAAACCTTTTTATACTTTGTCGTAGTTTTATTCCTAAAATCATTCTTGATATATAAAAATTTACATATCATTTTCTCATGTGTGTGTGCGTCAGAATCCTTGGTGCAGGCTTCACAAAAGGTCCTGTTCTTTGCTCTGTATGTGAAATAATATGTGGTACTCAAAATTGTCTTAAAAGTCATTGAAGGCACAAACACAAGGAAGGCATCAAAGGCACTGTATGCTGTTCAACTCTCATCGATAAAGAATGGGAGAGTCCATCATATATCAGGAAAAAATAGGCGGCAATTAATGACAAGATGGAAAACTGAGAAGTGATGCATTTTATTCAAAGAAGAAACTTTTTCAGACAAGCAAAGGTTTTATCCACAGAATCAATCTTAAATATAAAAAAGGGTTTGGGGAAAAATACAACAAATGTTAGTTAAAAGTTACTGAGATGCCAATATTTTTTGACATCTGATTATATATATATATATATATAAGAGAGAGAGAGAGAGAGAGAGAGAAAAATTGCAAGTCTCTTGCTACTCTATCATTGTTTCCATGGAAAATGTTCGGATGAGCTACATTCCTTCAACTTTAACCCTCAAAGCTAAGACCCACCATACCTTGTACACTAAGCCAAACAACCCTAATTCTTCTGTATTCCATTAGTGAGATGTCAGTTTCACAGCTTTTTCCAACAAACTGCTCCTTTATGGAACTGACTCCCAAGAGGATGCTTTCTCAACCACTATAATCTTAATTCATTCATGTCTAGGGTTAACCATTACCTTTCACACATTTCCTCATAAACTTACCATTTATCTCTTAATCTTAACAATCATACAACAAAATTGTCCAGTACAGCTCTACTTCAAGTTGCTATTGGACTTTGTATTGTGTGAATGAGTAAAATTTGTGTGGATATCAATATTACTGGTGTGCATGTATGTGTGTGTTTCTCTGTATGTACATATATATGTATGTATGGGAATGTGTGTATGTGTTCATTCAAAATTATTACTGTGCAGGAAATAGAAATCCAATGTGTGTAAAATACAAGCTCTTCTAATTACAATGTCTTCTGATTTTTTCAACAAAATTTCATCCAAAGTCCACATCTGTTTTCAATAATGAGTTGTTTTGTTTGGGGAAATTACTTTATTTTCAGCCAGAACATCCCCGTATCTTCACAGGAAATATAAACTGCACTCACAATAACTGTAATAATGATAGCAACAGCAATAACGACAAAAGAGTCTTTAAACTGATGCTTTGTTTTTGTAAAATATCACAAAGGAATACATTTTCTTTTTTTAACAGAATGTACTTTAGATTATGAAATTAATGCTCACAAAACTGATCCTATATTCAAGGAAAATGGAATATAGAAAAATTAGAATATTCATTTGGTGATTCATATGAGCCCCCATCATACAGATTACACCTACGCAAATCTTAGTTCACATTACACATAAATCATAATACACTTATTCTAATGTGTTAGTATTACATATATATATATATATATATATATATATATATAATTATTTATTTAAAAATATGATTCCAACACGCATTAAATAAATAATTATATTTATGCTCTACTTTTGTATCGAGCACTATTTTTTAAAATAATAACAAAAATACTAAAGAACTTTGGATTATTTACCTAACGAGTTCTTTCCTATTTGCTATATATTTTCACACACACACACACACATATATATATATATATATATATATATATATATATATATATATATATATATGAGTGAATAGGAAAATGCTTGTTTAATGATGCAGTCTTTGTTCTGCTGAGTAAGGTGGAGGACACACAAACAAAATTTAACTTTAGGTGTATTCATAAATAATAGTTACTGTATTTGATGGTGTATAAAATGCACCCCAATTTCATCAGAGCAAATCAAGAAAAAATTTAGTAATTAGTAAAATTATAAGTAAATGGTACAGCCTAGGCTGTATTTATGAGGTATTATTTTGGTTAAACAAGCCATGATTACAATTAAACAAAAAATAATAGGAAAAAAAGAACACAAGCCTATAAAAATTTTATTATATCCTTTATATGATCTGTACAACATGTGTCTTGTAATTGGAATAATTAGGATATAAAAATTCTGGATTCTATTCATACCAATGCAACTGGAAGTTATTACAAGAAAAATATTAATGAAACAAATATATTTTACAAATATATAATTTGAATTTATTGTATATAATTTTAGTGAAACAAAGTATTAATTTTAAATGTGATGAAATTAACATAATGAATATTATCAATGATAACACTTAATTTTCATAATGACAGTAGGTATATGACAGTTACTCTAAAGTCCAAGTTAACAGGAGTTGCCAGGTAGCTAATTTCGGCTGACTATCGCAAATTTTAAACCTACATATTACATATAAGATGCAAGGGAATTTTGAAAGATATTTTTAGTAAAAAAAAGTGTGCCTTATATGCCGTCAAATACAGTAATACTTATAAAGTAAGTAAATTGATCTTTTTCTTCTGGGAGGTCACATGAAGCAATTTCCATGCAGTGGACAATCAACTTATAACTTGAATATCAAAACGGATTAACTATTTTAGGAACATTGCATTGATATTTAAATGCAATTTTCATTAAATGATTTTTGAGACATGATTTTTTTTTTTTTAATAGTAATATTCAGCTGATACAAGGTTCAAGAGACAGTCAAGGTAAAGAGTTAATGTTTTTTTTTTAGTTTTTTTAAGCATTTCACCCCAAGCAAGGCGAAAGGGTTACAGAGAGTGGGAGCAAGAGTAAAGAGGCATGATAGAAGAAAGGATAAAGAGAAGGATGGGAGAATTAGATCAAGACATCTGAAGATGTTGATTGACATTGCATTTGAATAACTGAAGCAAGTAAGAGGAAAGGAATTCCACACATGGAAAGTGTGAGTCATGAAACTATTGGAGTAGAAGTGGTGGCTACATGTGGCTGTTTCTACAGTGAAAGGCTGGGAATGAGATGCCAACCTAGTAGCACGCTTAAATTCATGCAGTTTTGGGAACCAGTGAAAGTAGCTCGTCAGAGCAGTTGCCATGAAAGTATTTGTAGAAAAGACAGAGGGAAGTGATGGCACATCTTTGAGAAATTGACCGGAGATGAGATACCAGATCAGGACCAATCACATTGAATATCTGTCTCTGGATTTTGTCAAGGACATGGAAATGAACAGCAGGAGCTCCAGACCATATATGGCAGCAGTATTCCATGCAAGGGGAGTATGTCATTATATAAGCAATAAATTCATGTAGCTAAGATAGTGATTAGGAAGACATCCTACCAGGAATCTGTTCCTCGAAGGGAAGTGCAAAGGGAATGGGGATGATTCACCCTTGTGCATATGGCATGGTGGATCCTAGTTATAAAGCTCAAGGGTGGTGCAACTAAAGAATCTAACTCATCAGAACAGATGCCATGCAAGTAGCAATAAAGGAATGAGACACTTGCAATGTTTTGTCTGTAGAAAAGAGGTAGAAAATAATTCATCACCCACAAGGCTGCTTAGACGCTTTCGAACCCTATCCAGACAAGTAAGTGATGACTGGGTTGCAGCATCCCATATATGGCGGCAATGATCCCTCTATTTTGGGTCTGATCTGGCTCTTGTAAAGATAGAGTATAGCAGGAGGAGTCAGATATTTACTGGAGTTGTACAATGAACCAAACATTTTCCAGCATCCTTAGCAATAGATCAGATATATGAGTTCCACTTGTAATCTGGGGAGAGCTTGAGTCCCAACAAATGTTCAAGACAAGAAACTTTCATGAGAAAATGGCCATCCATCATAAAACACGAAAGTCTGGGGTCTGATCATTGTGCTAATTTTTTAAATTATTTTCATATACAGTCACATGTTTGATTACAATGTAAGTAAAAACTGTTTGCATGTATATATTCAAGCAATTTCATCCATCATTGGTCATTTTCAAGAACAATATATTATGGTACTGAAACTCAAGTAAAATTCAATCTACTACTATTTTTCCAGTGCATCTGATCAGAATGTTATAATTTTAAATTATATTTACAGTTTTATTTGTGGGCTGATTACAATAAATTGTTTTTGGCCTGACCAAGAAGTTTTGCTGAAATAAATCTGATACTCCATAATTTTAGAAAGTTGGTCAAGTTGAAACTTTTACAGAACTCTATTGTATGCAGATTTTAATATTGTATCAATCGTTTCTTTTCTGAGGACAGTAGTGGCAAGACTTTTGGCATGTAGTGAATCTAATATGCTATTGTTCAATTTTTACTTTACAGAATTCATAAGAATTCATTAGTGGAATTGATGTTGCATTGGTAGATATACATATGTGTGTGTGTGTGTGTGTGTCTATGTATGTATGTATGCTTATAAGCAATACTGATCATATGTTTTTAATCTGGTTATTCTTTCTAAAGTCTGGCTGTCATTGTTATCTTTGGTAGAAATTTAAAATAGATTAGAAAAAAGTAAATAGAAAAACATTAAAAAGTATACAAAAGTTTAAAAATAAACTGAGATTGAAAAGATAGGGAAAAGCAAAAGAAGCCATTTTGTGGCTATTTTGATTTTGCTGAAAAAATAGGCATGTGAAAATGGAAAGAAAGTAAACAAAAGAAGAATGAGTTAGGGTGGGCAAAGAGAATGAATGAGTGTGAGACAAGAGAGAGAACAAAAGTAGGAGAATAGAAAGATGAGGGTGAGACAAGAGAAAGAAAATGAGAGTAAGTGAAGGGTGTAGGATGAGAGAGGGAGTGAGATAGGGTAAGAGAAGAAAAGAGGAAGCAAAGAGAGGGAACAAGAAAGAGAAGAGAGGGAATAAAAGTAAGAGAAGAGAAAAAATGAGGATGTGATTAGAGAGAGCAAGAGTGGGAAAGAGAGCAAGAGTGGGAGAGAGAGCAAGAGTGGGAGAGAGAGCAAGAGTGGGAGAGAGAGCGAGAGTGGGAGAGAGAGCAAGAGTGGGATAAGAGAGAGGGGAAAGGAGTCGGGATAAGAGAGAGGGGAAAGGAGTCGGGATAAGAGAGAGGGGAAAGGAGTCGGGATAAGAGAGAGGGGAAAGGAGTCGGGATAAGAGAGAGGGGAAAGGAGTCGGGATAAGAGAGAGACTGATGAGAGCTTAAAAGAGAAAATGAAGACATGATAAAATAAGGAATACAAATGGAAGGAGAGGAAAAGATATCAATATAAAAAAGATGGAAGCAATCAGAAGGAAATAAAAAAAGAGCAAAGAAGCAAATGAAAAGAAAAAGGAAACTAAAGGAATGAAAGAAGATAAAGAAGTGAAATGGAGAAATAAAAATGATGAAAAGGAAAATATTAAAGTTAGGATTAGAAAAAAAACAAGAAAAGGTGTGAAAGAAATGAGAGAAAATCAAAGAAAGAAGAAAAATAGATATATTTTATCAAAATAACAGAATAAGGATCTGTATAGGAATGAGAGGGAGGTACAGTGGAGTAATGGATAGTGGCTCGGATTGAGGAATTGAAGAGCCGAGTTCAAATTCTAGTCAAATCCAATACATTCACTTACATGCTAATACCCTTGGGAAAGGTATGAATTCTCTACTTCTCTCTGCAGCTATGGGTAAAGAGCAGGACAGACCGGGTTCTGTAGCCTTGGATGGCAACTGGTCTACTGCAGAAAGAAATGGTAACCTACTGCGGGAAAACATCTGCCAATATCAGTCATGTATCAAAAGATACATGATCGCATAAGTGTGTATCATGCATGGCACATAAATGTTAGGAACAGGAAGGAGAAAAATAGAAACTAAAATGAAAAAAGCCAAGTGAAGGGGAAAGAATTACCCAGGAAGGAAATTTAAAGATAAATAAAGGCAGCGACAGAGAGAGAGAGAGGGACAGTTACAAAGAAGAAGAGAGAAAAAGAATTGAAGGAAAATGAAAAAGAATTAAACAACAGAAAGAGTTAAGTAAAAAAAAAAATGATTGTCAATGAAGAAAATCTAATACAGATATTAAAACAGTTTAAGAAAGTGATATTCTCATAAAATAGGCTAAGGCTATCCTGATAGTCAGAGAGAGCGAGAGAAAAAGACTTGTTACAAAAATTAAAAAAAAAAAAAAGAAAGAAATTGGTTTTCTTAAAGATCTGGAACAAACTGAAAGATGAGAGATATGATTCCAAAGTCAATCACAATCAGATATTGGTTCCAAGCTCTTGGAGAAAAAATTTTGGCAGTATACCATTTTTGGAATACTGAGTTTCTTTAATCTATTCATACTCACATGTGTAATATTTGTGCGTAAATGTACACACGTGCATATATACATCTGTAAATATATGTATGAGTGGGGGGAAAGAAAGAGAGACATGTACATACTTAAAGATTAATATCAGTGAACTTGCCAAGTCACATACCAGAACTTGGATCAAAGTGTAGTGTCAGTTCATGAACATTTCTTTCTTTGCTTCTTTTTAATGAACTTTAATTTTTTCATATTTTTGGAAACTCATCATTTTTTTTAAAGACCCAAGTACAAAGTGAATTTTTTTGGTCACTGCCTGTTTTTTTTATCTGATATCAAAGGTCAAAATATCAACCAAACTGCTCCATCAAAAATTATTAACTATGATTCAGACATAAAGAAAGTAAAGCCTGATGCTCTAAGTCTGTGTTTTATGAATAGCTTATGTTGCTTTTATTCATTTTTAACCAGTATTTCTTTCATGTAAATTTCAGTTGGTTTTCCTTGCATCTCCTCAGAACATTTGTATAGACTGGAAATACAAAAGAATGAGCAACACCCGATTCATGGTCCATCTGCTTTATGAAATATGTTTTTACATGACAGCTGCTCTACTGTTTGAGCTATAGGAACTTTTTACCTGGGGCACCATTAAGGCACCCCAGGTGACTGCCTGAGTTGCCAGTATCTTAAAGTCACCACTGACCAGAGGGATAATTTATTAAAAGTATAAATTTTATTTACTAGTTATTACTAGTATATGTGCTGTTTATTTACTAGTTATTACTAGTATATGTGCTGTTCAAAATGTACTCCTTTTTCAAAACACATTTCAATTAATTCATATTTAATTCTTTCTTTAGGTTTCTTAAGGTTTGGGACCTGATAGGTTAATGTGTAAATTTGAATTTTCTGTATGTGCACATACACACACACACACATATATATATATATATATATATATATATATATAATAATCTGGCTTACTTCAGGTTATAACTAGTGTGACTCTGAAGTAATTGCTTGATAAAAGCCAAGAAAATGGAAGAAAATTCTTTTCTTTTTGTCTTTTATTTTACCTGAATTGTAAAGTCACCATTTTCAAGGGTTTAAAAGAGAGTTGGTCACCCTGCCATCACATTGAATTCCACCCACCTCACCAAATGATTTTTGTTTGCACCCACTCCCATATTCCTAACCCATCCAATCCAACCCAGTGCATTTGATCCCTGAAATCGAGACAAATTTAGAGTCTGCCACACTTTTCACTAAATGACCATTGATTTGAGGTTAGCAAGATTAACATGAAATTCAAATTGTAATAAGAATTCATTTTCCATGACGTTCTTTGGATGTATTTTTTTTTTGTTTCCGACCTCTTAGGTTACAGTGTAAATTTAAATTTTCTGCATGTGCACACACACACACATATATATATATATATATATATATATATATATATATATATATATATTCATTCTATTTATTTGGGTTTTTGGGTTTTGTTTAACTAGTGTGATGTAATTCTTCAATAATCGTGTATTATTTTAATAGTGGGTAATGGAACTTATACTAAGTTCGACTGGCAAGGCTGATTTTACTGCTTTTAAACTTCAATCTTCCATGAATCTCTCACATACATTCTCCGTGGCTCGATTGGTTAAGGCATGTCAGGTTAAATAAATGATCCCGTATTGGATACAGGTTCCTGTCAGAGAAAAAATATTTGCTATGAAAATTTCTTGGACATTCAGGCCGGTAAATGTTATTAATACTGTTTATTATAAAATAGAGCATTTACTTAACAATTTGTATGTATAAAAAGAATGTATAAACATAAAACTGTCTTAAAATAATTGTTGGACTTTGTCCATTTCATAATATATATATATATATATATACATATTGGGTAAGTATTCCATAGTTGGAATGTCAGTGACTAATCCAGCTGCCCATTCTAAGTTCTTGCAAGTGAGGTGGCTTGTTAGTGAGCCAGTAGGATGAAAAATAATAAAACCTATGAGTCAACGGCCAGCTAACTAGAGGTGGTGTCTCCATAATCCACTGTGGAGAAGGCAACAAGAAACCACTTCACTATTATCACGCCAAATAACACGCACAATATGAAACCTAATGGCGTGGAGAGGGTTAAGTCTATAGTAATTTACTCCTTGCCTAGTAAGGACGGACATGTGCAACAGGTGTCTCCTGACTATCATCCAGCGACTTCTAGTACAGAACCTATCCTTCACCCAGAAAGAAGCGATGTGTCACTGGACCATTATCTTGCGACTGCTTGTATCAAACAAAAATAACTCTTGGAACATGGAACATTCAGACATTGGACAGTTAGATAATGTAAAACAAGAGATGAGTAGATGAAATATAAACATCTTAGGTGTTTGTGATTCCACAAGTTCAGACCTTCACAGCTAGGACCTGTTAAGTCATATAGAGAGAGTCAACTCATTGCATTACCTTCATATCCCATTTGTAAGGAGGTCTACTAAGACAGCTTCTTTCTCAGGAATGTTGCATTGTAGAACACTACTAAGAGGATGCTTCTCTGATTACTTCAAATCAAAGGTCAACTGCTACCTATCGTACTTATCCTCATAAGATATACCTCTTGCTCCCTCCTTCTACACCTTATGTAGTAACCCACTAACTTGAGTGGCTCTTGGGTCTTGTAAACGGCCAAATACAGAAAATCCTCTCTAAAGAAATCCTTTATGAATACTGAACATGACATTCCTTCATTATTAGACATACAAAATCAGGGATGCACAACATTTGTGCATCTAGAATTCAAAGATTGCTTCTTAGGTGGAAATTATAGAATTTAGCAGATCTTCTACAAAGAGATAAAGAAACAAATCTAAAATTTAGTCTATTCACTTGTAAAAATCTTCTCGTAAATATTGTTACAAAATCCATAAACACTGCAAATCTATGTTCTTGAATATGGGTTTAATTTGTTCTGCATGGAGGCATAAAATATTTGCAATTCTTCGTTAAGAACATTTGAATTTATCATCTCGAAGAGACTTATATATACAAATGATAGGGAAACATAAATGATTTCAATATTAATACACTTATTCATACCTACCTAGCCATTATTTTTGCAATGCTTCCTATGATTCTATAAAAAATATTGACTATATGAGATTGAAGGGAAGCACAGTGGAGTAATGGATAATGCTTTGGATTGAGAAATCAGAAAGCATAGTTCAAATTCCAGTTGAATCCATTACATTCACTTATGTGCTAATACCCTTCGGAAAGGTATGAATCCTCTTCTTCTCCCCAGCTATGGGTAAATAGCAGGACAGACCGGCTTCTATAGCCTTGGATGGCAACTGGTCTACCACAGAAAGAAGAGGCAACCTACAGTGGGAAAAAGATACATGATTGCCTAAGTGTGTATCATGCATGGTACATAAATAACTGACCGACTTTATATATATATATATATATATAAACAAGGATTATTTATGCCTAAAAATATGTTGATCTGTAATACAGATTTAGTAATCAATATTAAGAAATAAAGACTTACTGTGGGATCAAGTTGAGATCATAGACAAAGGACATCATTGGAAAATTCAAGGTATCAGCACATATGCTAAGTCACAAAAATCTCCTGACCAAGCATAGAAATGAATACAATATGGGAACCAGTAATAAGTAGTGCTAGAGAAAAGCAATAACAACAACAAAAATTGCAATATGAGCTCTGGTAAAAGACATGCAATGATAACAACAAAAATTGCAATATGAGCACTGGTAAAAAAATAGTTGCTTAAGACATTAGGTTCATAATACCCATTCATAAACAGATGTCCTCAAGGACACATGGCACGGTGGATAAAGGCGTTAGTTAGATCCAGTGACAGGACCCAAAGTGTGTGAGTTCAATACCTGGTTAAGGCGGTGAAGAAGTTTGAGAGGGAATTAACAGGAGATAACTGACATCCATTAGACATGGCACATGGAACTAGAACAGTCTACTCCAGTGAATGAAATAAAGGGTTCAGTCTGACATTCCAACCACCTGAAGAAGGCTGGAGTGAACAAGAGCTGAAAAAATGTTGTGACAAACATGGCAACAAAGATGTGGACAATAGTCCGAATAATGTAAATAGTACATCAAATTTAAAATATACCAATTCAATAGTTGTTCTTGCCAAATCCTAAGACCAAGTTTGATTCTCTCTTTAATCTATTAAACAAAATCAAGAAAGACATTTTTAATCTAGGTTGTGGCTACTGTGTAATTGGTCTCTCTATAATTTTGACATGACTACCGCTAACATGGGAAGACACAACCTTCAAAAAATGCCAAAGCAAACATAATACATTCACATACACAAAACGCTCTCAACACAAAATAAAACTCTTTGAAAATAGCTTATGAAAGCAGAGAGTTAATGCTGAAATTCTTGCTTGAAACAAGGAAGATGGTTTCAACCATCTAAAACACGGGTTTTTCTGGGGGTCCACAGGCAAAATATAAGAAATCGGGGGTCCACAATGATATTTTGGTGGTTAATGAAGAAAGCCAATGATATTGCTAAAAAGTACCCTTTGCTCTCGGATAAAGTACAGTTCTACACTATTGCTTTTCCAACATCTTGTTGAATCAGGATTTAGTTGTGTTTCTCAACAGTTATTAAAAGTTCGCAATATACTTGACATTGTAAAAAGAGGTGATCTTTGACTATCATTAACATCGCTGGAACCAGATATAAAGAAACTCGCTGAGCAGCATCAACCACTGGGATCTCATTGAATAAATATGCCTTTCTTTTTTTTTCTAATCACACACTTAACATAAATTGGTTTATTAAAATTTTAACCACTGTGCATAAATAAATCCTGCAATGAATTCAATTGCCTTGAAGAGCTCTGTTCTCCATGGCCTTGACCATGGAAGAAACATTGTAATATGATATAGATCAATAAAAATTATTATTACTATATTTATTATTATTATT